GGGGTTCAGCTGAGGAAACTTACGAATCGAATATTCGTCCAATGGAGAGCGGTCTTCGAGCCTTCTAACCTGATCCTCTTTAGGGACATCGCCTGTGATCGTGGAGTAATCCGTGGTCTGATTTTTCCTCAAGTGACAGACAAATCTGTTATTGCCCATCTTTTGTCGTCAGGCGCATATTCGTTTGGCTAAGGGTCGTTTTATCGGGGTTCCTGCGCGACCACTGTCGCTTCTCTATACTTTTGTCAAACGAGGTGTATGCATGACGAGGAAACGGTTAGTTTCACTCTCCGCCTCCAAACCGGCCAATGAAACGCTCTGTTCCAGTTGTGTCCTTTCCCGTTACGTCTTGTGCATTGCGCTTTCCAGTTCCACATAGAACTGCTCCACTTCTTCATCGTCCGCTTGCTGCGCTGGGATGTAAACTTCGATTATCTTTAGCAATCCTCTCTTGTCCATTAGCACAATTAGTACGGCGACATGAGGTGACATGAGGTCGCAGCCGTGAATACCAGCGCTCTGGTACAGCGCTCTTGGTTACGATGAGTTTTACGCCGCTTGACCGAGTCCGGTTTCGTACGCCAGCCTTGCCAAAGAACATTTGATGAGCGTTGTTGCGATGTGCGATCAGCTCGGAGGATATTCCGATTTCGCACGAGTCGAGAACATCCGCTTTGATCTTCTTCGCCTCGATGAGGGAGATGTCGACGAACGGGTCTGACGACAGTTCTGACCTTGAGGCTAGATGTTGGCCATACGCTCTTGGGGTATATCACTCGTGTCGAGTCTTGACCGTCACTGGGGCACACTCACTACGGTTCCGGTATTCTTCCGTACGTTATGCATTTTAGTCGAGTTTCGTAGGCAGTTCATTCCTGGTGCCAACCTTCGTGAACTTCAACCAGCGCGTACTTCCGGATCAAGCGGGAGGCGCCTGGCAAGCTTTTGGTCGAGCCAGGGTTCAGCTACGAGCATCAGTGTCGGGAGTCATGTCTCACCCCCGCCCGCCCGCCCAGGTGAAAACCCTCCGCGGTATATGCAGTCGGCTGGCCATGCGGGATGATGGTGCCGCATAGCATCAAATATGTTGGTTCGCCAGAGCATGTTAAATAATTCATAACTCCTCCAAGATGGACTGATGACTGGACATTTTCATGAGTATTTCTGTTTGGGAGCAAGATAATTAAGGAATGCCAAAAGAAGGTTACAAACGTTTTAAAGGAAAAGTTTCGTATAAAAATTGTCGCCAGTGCGTTATGGTCGAAAGATGCCCGGATGAAGAGACACCAACGGTCGAACAACGAACCAACATTGTGGAGAGGGGAGGGGGTAAGTAGGAAATGGGTGGTTTGTGAGTGAGTCTGTCATATTTGACCAGAAACAAGGTGACAAATGTCAGAGGGTTCGGTGCGAGAGCGATTGCAGTCAGTTAGTGGCTGGATCGAAGGGTTAATGGTTCGTTCGCTGACGGCGTTTGGCTTCTTGGTTAGCACGTGGTGGCGGTGGCGGTGGCGGTGGCGGTGGTGATGGTGCTCATCGATTTGTTAGCCGTCGTTTCACAGCTGCTACGGAACGCCACCGCCTCTATAGCACGGTTTTACGCGACAAGAAGAGCAGCGCACGTCGTAAATGAAATGACTGACTCCGACACTCCGACTCTGACTCTGACTCTGAGGCTGTGACTCGCTCGGACTACTAGAGTCAACTCGACTACTCGAAGTAGCGCAGTCCGTCCGTCCGTCCGTCACCGCCTCCGTCGCTGAGGTTGTCACAGCGTGCGGTGCCATTGATCGCTCAACGGGGGACAGGTTACACCGGTTGCGACGGCGGCGGCAACTGTTTAAGGTTTGCGAACCGCGATCGTCATCGTCAGCTGGCTTGGCCATCACACCGAGTCCATTCACTGCTGCTGGCTGAGGGAGGAACGAGGAAAGTAAGTAAGCGGGTAAGTAAGTAAGTAGCAACGCCGGCTGCGACGGTCACAACGACTCGCTGATGCTCGATGACGGCTTTTCTAAAATGTCACATGGCGGTGAATGTGGCGGCGGGCACTCCTCTTTCGAGGATGGTAATGGCCCGTCGAATCGAACGGGACGGGGGCTTTGAGGGTGGGAAGCGACGAGAGCGTCGTCGCCGTCCGTCCGTCCGTCCGTCGAGGGTGCGAGTCACAACAATGACAGCGATCAAGGCGATGACACGGTCGCAATGTGCAACCCAACTTACGGACACGACCAGTTGATGCTTGTCCGAACTGAGGTAGAAGTCGGTCTCGATAACAAGCAAACTCACACATGACGGACTGACAACGGAAAACAACATCACAAAACAATACTTACCAATGATTCGGAAACTGAAGTGGGCAGTGGCCGAGCATGACGACGGTAGGAGAGAGATAGTGACGAACCAACGGTCAAAAAGTCGCACTGAACGACGAAAGACGAAGTAACACGGGAAGCATAAGCATCGGTTCGAA